CTATTTCAAGAATTTTTTAATGGTTATATAAATACACATGTAAATATAAATATATATGATATTTTTATATATATCAATATATTTATCTTTGTGTCAACACCCAAAAATTTTTCACGAATACGCACATATCAGGTTCTGGTGTATACTTGTGTTAACCCCGTAAACATTATGAAAAGTTAAAGAAAGCATATATTTTATATATGCACCCGATGTACTCGATTGTTTTGGGTGTTGATCAAAGAGATAAGTCCCAAAAACTACTTACATATACTCGATTGTGTATATATATATGAAAATCTTCAAAGTAACATATATTGGATATATATAGAAGTAGTATGTATGTATGATCAAAATAGTAAGTCCCAATTGAGACTTACTATTTTGATCATAAGAACAAAATTGAGAATAATTTATACCTCATCCCTGAAGATTAGGCAGTCTAATTCTTTTAAACCTTACGATTTATTATGATGCCACTACTTGATAAAGGACTATTTTGAGACAATTAATAAACTGTAGAATAGCTATAACTGGTGATTGGCCTTAAAAATATTCCCTCTTGGTAGGCTGTACTAAACAATAAGATTTCAGAGGAAGCTTATACTTTTTTCTGTTAATGAACACTTCTAGTACAGATAAATAATTGTTGAGATGACCATTTATTTTTCTGAAAAAATTAGATGCTCTAATCTTGTTATATCCTCTTTGGGTAGAGTAACTAAGTGCCGTCAAGTATAAGATAACTTTTTCTGATAGTAAAATCTTAAGATAATAGTAACTATGTAAGTCTGATATATTTCTGTGTTTATATATTTTATCTAATATCAACTAAAAGTTTTGATAATAAATTATTGTAATACAAGAATTGGTTCCAGTTCTTGGTTTAAAATAATAGAGCTTATGCAAATAATAATAATAATAATAATTGTATGGATTGATATCGAAGTATATATAAATACTTCAGTACAATCCTTTAACTCGAGGTTCAACTTTTGATTGCATTTTAAAGTTAGTATCGACGGTTGTGATCATTTTACTTAATAGAAATTATTGTATTTATTTGAGGTTTCGAACAGTAGTGAATAATAACAACAATATTTCTTAATATTTTTCAGTTGATTGAATTTTTAGCTGATCATACAGCTGTTTCGATTATTACCAAATACCCATTAGCAGTAGTCTTTAAATAACTTTTGATATAGTTCTGATAACTTCCTTAGGATGATGTTTTACAGTTTTTGCAGTACCCGTAGCATAGATTTAGGCGTATAATTAAAGGCGACGCAACCATACATAATGATGGTCGGATGACTTGTTTATGGATGAGTGTTTTATTTTTCCGGTTTAATTTTTTGCTTTTGAAGGGAGACTAAAGCTGATTTTTGTTATGAATTGCCTACCATATCATAATGTCTTCCCAAATCAACTTTTTGTTAAAAGTCAGGTTAAGTCAATAATAATGTCAAAAATATAAACATTAATATATATCGTAATATCATTGTTGGTGAAAATAAAATTTTGATAAAAATGGGCTGTACACACTAAACAATTAGGTTCTGTAAATTATGCGGAAGCGTATGTGGTTGATATGTACATATACCCATATTCTACAACAGGGCTGACCAGAGCAGATGTGATCGCGGGTTAATACCAATCACTGTACAGATTAGAGGGTCGCAAAATAAAAACAATTTTATTCATTTATCAATTTAAATTCATTTACTTGGTATACCATAAAAATAAAAAAAATCTAGTTTTACCAGTACACCAAAAAAAAATTGTAGTAGATTAGAAACATGTCGCGGGCCGCACAAACATTAGCCATATGCGGCCCGCGGGCTGTCCAAAGTACCAAAGTTCTATAATATATAAATGTCCTTATTTAAATGCGTTGATATTTTTTAAAATAAAATGCCACATTATTTAATTTCAATTATTAATCTTTTCTTAATAATGCATTTGTATTATTCAAATAACAAACAGCTCAATCCGAATTGCAAATGAAAATCTACAATATCAGAAGGATTGCCATAGTTTACAAGCATTTATATTTAACAATAAAATAATTATTAACAATGCATGGATCTGACCATAGTGCAGAGCGAGGTATGGAATTCTGAACACTCATTTGCCATTACCAACGATTACGAACCATTTTCAATAATTTTCCACAATTTTTAAGCGTTTCACTTCCGTTCAAACGTATGACGTTGCCACATAATTTCGAGTTTTAATGTTTGCTGTGTCTTTACAAACTTACATTCAGTGTTGCTGCGTGTCCGAGCGAATATGCATGCGAGTAAATATGCAAATATTCACTGCAAATGTGCTTAATGCATTGATTTTTATTTGCTAATTGTAATCGATATTTTCCATATTTTCTGCTTCTGCTTCTGCTTCGGATGAGATATTGTTATTATTATGCTTCAGATGATTATCATTTAATTATTTGTATTTATGCACTTTTCTCTTCCATTTCGCCAATTTCAAAGCGTAAAATAATTTTCATACTCGTATCATTCCCTGAATGCCATTCCTCTTGTTTTCATACAACAATACCAAGAATAACTGGCACAGATATGGGTTTGAGGGAGGGGGAAGAGAAAGCAGCGCACATGCAAAACTGTTCATTACCGAATTATGCAGTCCAGTAATGATGACTGTGTGCGATGCAATTTTAATGCAATTTATCTGCAGAAAGTTTAATTGTAAAGTTTTAATTAGAAAAAAACAAAAAAATAAAAAAAAAATTATGATAAATAAAAATAATTGCAAAAATTATGAAAATTAAATGAAATAAGTGAAAACAATTAAAAATTATTAAAAACTTTTCTTCATACTCTCTTTTATGTATATTAAAATTAATTTTTTTCTTAATTTCTCTGTCATTAACATAATGATAATAAAGTTTCCCAGAAATTTTAAAACTTAATTAAAAAGCAAGTTGTCCACAAAAAAAATTATTTTTTGCAAAAAATAAAATCACTTATGAATATAAAAGCTATGGGAAAGAATATATCTCAAGTGTGGTAGCATAATAAATTCTTTTAAATTAAAATTATTACTATACATGTAAATAAAAGTTTTAAGTCAAATGGAATATGTTGAAAATATTTAAGTATTTAGGAAAACTCTTCTCTATCACAACAAAAGATTTTTTTTTTTTACTTACCACAATAGCCCTTAAAGGACCTAAGCCAATTACACAAAAGTGAGTTATTAGTAAAATCATCCCTATCGACTTCTAAACACATGAACGGAGAAAACGCTGGGAATAAAGATCAACAAATAACTCAACAAGTTTTGAAAGTGTGAAGCATAAACTTTTCAGATTTGGCAACAACGATTGAACTCCGATGTACGAGGAAGAGGTATAGCAATTGACTATTATGTCACACTGTTCCTAACTGGTCATGGATATTTTTAAGAATATCTACATAGGATGCAAAAAGCTGATCAACCCACTTGGAGGTTGGATGAAGACGATGCTGAACACATTTTCTTCAACTATGAAAGATGCCATGGAGAAAGAACTTTACTTGAACAATGTGTAGGCCACTTCATTATCGAGAATATCATTGAAAAAGTGAAAGAATGAACAGAAAATTGGAACAAAATCATACAATTCATCGGAAACGTACTCAGATGGAAAAAAAGGAGAGTTTGGATGTAAACTAAACTAAAATAGAGCGAAATCTAGAGACTTTCCAATTCGGATCTGGAGTCGGAGCCTGGACGCAGGTTCTACGAGTAGCATATGGCATGGATAGCCAACCGGGGGAGACATTCTGAAGAAGAGCAGCATTTCAGTTCCTCATCCAAACCACAAAAAAAAAGGAATGAAAGCGTCCCCTTCTATTCAATTTTGTTACTTGTTACTATGTTACTGAACTGTTTTCCAGTTTTTGATATTCAATTTTAGCATAGGAACTTGGTAAGTCCCTATTAAAAATTTTATGCTTTTGGAAACAGAAAAATGTCAACAGAGGTCATGACGGGAAAGTAGGGTGCTTGGCTCATCGCATTGATGAAGCATTGAAGCATTGATCCATTCAAGCATTCTTGTCAAAAACTCTTGCGCAAAGTTGAGCTTCAGAGATTCAGTCAGAGAGGGTTTAAATTCTTATTTTACAATTTACTGTTAATATATTTATTTTCCTTTAAATTATTTTCTTCTTCTCTATTTTTATTTTAATTTAAATTTTTCCAATCAATTTACTACTCAATAATGATATTTATATAAAGACTGTTTGCTAAGTATTGAAATGGATAAATTAAGGAACTTAAGAAAATTATTTAATTTTTATCTTTATTTATTTTAATACTTGCTGATATTTATTTCTTATTTTCATTTATTTATCTTTTAATAGGATTGATTGTTTAGAACATGTAAAGAAAAACACATTAAAATGCATTTTTTTTTGAAATAAAAATAATGCTCGTATTCACTTTAAGATGCTGCATTACAAGTGATTTTCATTCATACTGTACTGTTGTCCTAGAAAAGTCTTATCGAAAAAGGATTCCATTTTAAGCTTACAGAATCCCTCCTTAGGCAATTCAAGATAAATTTTATTTGATTGTCTTAAAATCATTTTTATTATTATATCTTAAAGGTAAAAGATTTTTACGGCTTCTGTTTTATTGTTGCATGTAAAATCTTCTGTTGATTGCAATATTTTATGACGAATTACATAAAGTTTATAGAAACAATAATATTTGTTAACAAATTGCAGTAAAACACTTTTGGCAAAATTGTATATATGTATCTCATAAATGTCTATATGTATTTTTCTAACATATTGTAATTTCTAAAGTTAACATTGAGAAAACTTTTATTTGACAGACATTCAATTTAATAAACGTTTATTGAAAAATTATTTATTCATATAAACTTATTTTATTAAATCGTAGTCACCTTTTTATTTATTGAATTTTGGTTAAAATTTTAACAACTATCAAGAAATTTATTTGGAAATTTTTATATAAATATCTGGATATAATTTTTTTTTGGAATATTTTTCACAGTCAAAAATTTGTGCAATATCCAAAAAGCTGGAGAATCTTACAAACTTCTAAAGGTAATTTTATATATTCATAAAAGATAATTCGAGTAGCATAAGTTAGCATATTTACTATTATTCAATTACTTACTGTCATCATCGTCAGTATCGACCTATCCGAATCCTTGCTATTTTCATTCATTACAATCTTGAGCTTACATGTTTCAACACCTTATTCCATACTGTACTATATCTTGTCCAAACTTGACTAATCTACACTAAGAGTTTTCGCATTCTTCAATTTTTGCTGTCATTATTTGGAGGTAATTGTATCCATGTTATTGGTGCTATACCCTATATATTGGTTTTCTTTTCCATTTGTCATAAAATCGGGTTTTCTTTATTTAATATTTAGTTCTTAACTGAACTGTGTTTTAGACAATTCTGCTTAAGTCGTGCTTGTTTAGGAGACTTCTGTTGTAGTACAATATTCCGTATTATTCATTTGCTTACTTTCATCGTAATTCTCTTCATTGTCACTGAAAAGGTAGCCCTATATGCGTTTTTGCGTATTATCATCTTCGTCTTCATCTTCACTCATTACAATCTTGAGCTTGCAGTTTTGAATATTTACTCTACTGCATTCTGACCAACTATCATAATTTAGAGTGAATTCAATTGCAATCCAACATGATTGTTTACGTATTTTCTAAAGGCTTACTAATATTATTGGTGATAGAAACTAGTTAGTAAACTATTGTCTAATAGTATACTAGTATCATTGGAAATAGGAAGTTTTCTGTTTTTTGCTTACTATAATCTTTGTCTTCACTTATTATAATCTTGAGCATCTTCTTCCACTTAGTCTAGTCCTCATAGTTTTGGGCGATTTTTGAGCAATATAACGTGAAGCACTTCCGTATTATTCAAAGGTTTGCAATCATCATCATCATCGTTATCATTATCATTATTGGGTATACAGTCACTTTCGCATTTTTTCTTGCTATAGTCCTTAGTCCTGAGTCGTTACAGTTTTAAGACTTCATATTCCAACATATAATTCTTAACTCTATTACATCTTTGCCGATCTTGCCTAACCCTTTTAGTTACGAGCAATTCCTGTCGGGATGCATCCGTGTTTTCTGCTCCTTCTTTACTTCTCTGCCATGAGGAAATTCCGTCTTATTCAATTGTTTACTATCATTATCATTATCTAATGTCTTTTAAAACTTTTAGAGGGATGTGCTGAATCTCAAACTTTCATTCCCGATTATGTTATTTGATGTTTGTGCATTGTATGTTAGGTGTTGTGACCAAGAGATTTAGTACAATAAACTTATACACTTATGCAGACGCGTTACCGTATAGAACACAATAACGTCGAGTAGATTTAACATTTTAATTATTTATCTGATATTGAGTGAGTTTCCAAGTAATTTTGTCTCTCTGTACATCTCTGTGCATCCCAGTTTTTTAATATGTGTTCTGGTAGCTCAAGTTCTTGAACAGAGTATCTACACATGGAGGTCTGTACAATTTAAATGTTACTGCGGTGTTTTGTCAGTTTGTCCGTTAAATCTTCAAGGTTTGCAGAGGTTTTCTTCCCGGTTTTTAATTTTTTGAATCCCTCAGCACTTCAGTTTTTACTCACCTGTTTATTTTGCAATATTGTTCAGGCGTTATTATTGCTATTGAAGTTTTTTTCCCGAGAAGTTATCGGCATACAACACATTTCCCAAGATCCCTGCATGTCCAGCAACTCAGTGGAGTGCTGATAATATAGTTTCTGTCCGTTAATGGATAGTTTATAGTACTATATGCTATATGGTATTGAAGACTTAATAAAAACTTTTCTAAAAGTTGTTAAAAATTTATTTAAAATTAAATTTATTTAATTGCCTGTTACTTCCCTTCGAAGTTACATAAAATGTTTAATACAATATTCTTATTTAGTTTAGAATTAACGTTTAATTCTAATATTATAAATAAAAAAGGATCCCAATCCGATACATCTGCTGTAAGGTTTCATATCATATATGTTGTTGTTGCTGTGATTTGAGTTAGTGCTATTGCGCACTTTTATTCTATTGTGGCTGGGGGGATTATCCCTGCCCCGCACTTAACTTTAACTGTACTAGAATCATTATTATTTATTTATTTTCTAACAGATGACGGACCGTAGATCAGCATATCTTCCTGTGTGTCCTGAGGTGGATTTAATGTTTGTTAGAGCGGGGTTGGGCAACGTATCAACTTTTGTGAATAATTTTAGGGGTCTGTCCTTGATATACTTTTTCACTGAGTCGATTCTTAGATCTCTATGCATGTCTGTTGTTCTAATATACCAAGAAATCTTGATTAGTCTTCTTAAAACCAGATTTTATGCTATCCGTAATTGCTTTATAGCAGTAATTGAGGCTTTGTTGTAAGTTACACATCCGTACAGGAGTGCTGGCCTACTTATTAGAGTAAATAATAACTTTCTATTTTTGAGGTTGAGGCGATTATTATTAAACAGCGGCTTAATATAATATATGTAGTATACTATTTAATATTCACTTTAATATAGATAGCCATGAAATTTACTTAATCAAATTATTTTAGAATACATTTTCAATTTTAGAAAGATTATGCCTGTCAAAATATAGTTTTATCTAATATATCTCTTTTGATTTCCAAATTATTTTTTCTGTTTCCAAGTTCCAACTTTCAAAATTTTTATTTCACGAATCAATACCACTTCAATGAAGTTATATTTTTACAAATATGTCTTCTAAAAACAAAACAACTAAAACGAACAAAAAAAGCAAGTCTCGTAGCAGCAAGCAAAACTCTTTCAAGTGCAAATCAGATAATGCATATCTTCCATCAGCTAGTGCAACTAAACCCTCCCTACCTAATGCGGATCAAGGAAAAAAACCAGTGAGCCAGAAACCATTGAAAAAAATTTTAAAGACCAAAAAACAAACTCTACTTTTGCGTGAAAGCTGTGGTTATATTACGGTTACACCGGTAGGCAAATCTTCAAAACGAAAGAAAAAAACTACTTCACACAAAACCGTAACCTTTAATGAAGATGTGGATATAAATATTATCCCTAATGATAAGTCAGTTTCAAGTGAAACTGAGTGTGATCCTCAACCAGCAAAGAATAGTGAAAAGCAGCAGAACAAAAGTGAAGATGATAGTACTGAAATGGTTGAAATTGGAGATCAAAAAACACTAATAGATATTCTTAAAGGAAATCCGAATCATATATCTATTGCTCGCCTTTCAAAGATGAAGTGGCGTATTTCTGGTAATAGCACTTTACAAACCACCGAAAAAGATGATCCTCCATCGACTTTAGATATGACACGCCTACGTTCAGGATTCCAATCAAGTGAATCTAAAGATCTCATGGAATCAGAAAAGGAAGAAAGAGCGGGAAATGATATTAAAACCGAACAACTAAATGTGGCTGAAAATATTTTTCGTAAGAACCTAGATTGTTCGCCAAAATATCGTTATGCGGATTTGACTCCTATGGAAAAAGAATATCTTGTTCCATTTAAAATACCTCAAGGTTACCACTCAGAATTTAAACAGAAAGGAACTGAACATGTAATCAAAAAAAAAGAAGAAAAATCAGTAGTAGTTAGAAATCGTATTAGAAGTCAAGAAAGAAAATTACCTGAAAAGATTGTAAAAGATATACAGCAAGAGCCTCAACAAACCAGTTGTGAATCGCCAGTAAAAGGTGTTATTAAAAATGTTGATAAAGGTGTGGATATTGCAAAAGGTGTGGGTGCAGAGCTTACCAAGGGTGTAATTAGGGGCATTAGTGTAGGGGCTGGGGAAAACGATATTGAAAATGTTACTAAAGGTCCTATTAAAATTGCCATTAGAGGTGTAATCAAAGGTGATGTTGGAAGAGTTGTTGGAGGAGCTATTGAAGGTGTTGTTGGAAGTGCAGTTGAAGGTGATATTGGATGTGCACTTAGAGGTGCGCTTGGAGGTGCTGTTGGTGGAACTATTAAAGGTGCTGTTGACGGTGTTGTAGAAGGTGCTATTGGAGGTGCCGTTGGAGCTGTTGTTGAAGGTGCTATTGGAGGTGATGTTGAAGCTGTCGTTGAAGGTGCTATTGGAGGTGATGTTGGAGCTGTCGTTGAAGGTGCTATTGGAGGTACTACTGATGGTATAACTGAAAATATTGTTGAAGGTATTCCTAAAGATAAAACCTCATGTGCCAGTAAAGGTTCTGCAAAAAATATTGCTGGCGGTGCTTCCAATGTCAAAATTTTTTCTGATTCTATTATTGACGATCCACTAATAAAAGCTCGTAATGATCTCTTGGATATTCTAATAATGCATGAAGGTTTAAGTAAGGAGTATGATGTGAACTTTGCCAAACTGCGTTATGTTCAACTATTGTGCAAAGAACCACATGATGCATGTCACGATCCATTAATCAAAAAAATTTTAAATGTCTATGAATTGATCGATTGCCAAGATAAGAGTGATAGTGAAAACCTCTCTGAAGAAGAGGATACTTAAATTTAGAATTTCAAATTTGGAAATTAATAAATAAGATGTGTTTTTTTTCTGCATGCCTGTTTTGATTATAAGTCGAACCAAATCAAAGAAGTGATAACAAAGCCGAATAACAAAGCTGTAATATATATAAAATAGGAAGATCGGTTGTTACATATTTTGCTCAATTTTATGAACTACCAAAATTTTTGCCTGCAATAAATTATTTCTCACATACCATGACAATAACAACAGATATTGTTTTTTATTTTATTTTTATATAGATGGTTTTTAACATTTTTTATTACACTTAATTATGGATTAAAAGTATATCTCTATAATTAATTTTTATAAAATAATTACGCAGAATTAGTGTCATGGTCCATAAAAAGATTAGAAGGTAATAAATATTGTTAATTAACCCAACTTTATAATTTACATTAGGTGTACCATTATTTTGAATATTTCAATGAGGTTAATATGACACAAAATGTTGGGATCATTGATTGTTTTAAATAAGACCGCTTGAAATTTCGACTTGAAGACTAATATAATAGCGAAAAAGATTTTATTTTAGTTATATTGGTGTGGTTATGGTCAATAAATATCTTTTTAAGTAAAAACATCTTCGACTCTAATGCCTTCAAGTTGTTTAATATTGTTTACTAGAAGAGATATAATAGCTTTTTATATATAGTAAAAGTTCTCTTAAGCAGATAGTGTCGGTACCCACAATTTTATGGGTTAAGAGAACTGCCCGTTTAATAGCACGTAATTTGTATTAGAAATCAAATTTACGGATCAGAATCATGGAGACTGGTAAGAGGGATATGCCACTTGTTTAATATAAAATTACTTGTTTAATAGAATGCTATATATTGGGTTGGATAAAGTTTTATCATTTTTAGTTAGTGCCATCATTTTTTTTTTTTGTTATAGATTTCTGGATTATTTTCTTAAAAGACGCTTATATCAGTCGTCTATTTAGAATAAATTTTTTACGTCTTGAAGGAATTGCATATAATTAAAAAAAGAGGCTTATATAACTCTGCAATACCAGGGCTATATGGTGGTTGTAACAAGTTTTCACAGACATGAGCTCCAAAAATTAAAAGCCAGGAACTTCAAAATTTGACGGCTAGTAGTTCAAATATTTGATAGCCAAGAGCTTCAAATTTTGACAGCCAGAAGATCCAAGAGCCAGGAGTTTTTGAATATAACTGCCAGAAGCTCTAAAATTTGATGGTCAGGAGCTTCACCTCCAAAATTTGACAGCTAGCAGTTTCAAAATTTAACAGCTAAGAGATTTAAAATTTGACAGCCAAAAGCTTTAAAATTTGACAGCCAGAGGCTTTAATATTTGCCAGCTAGGAGCTTTAGAATATGACTGCCGGGAGCTTCAAAATTTGATGGACAGGAGCTTCAATGGAAAATTTGATGGACAGGAGCTAGAAATTGAAATTGTGACAGCCAGAAGCTTCAACATATAAAAGCCAGGACTTCCAAAATTTGACAGCTAAGACTTTCAAAATTTGACAGCGTTCAGTTCCAAAATTTGACTGCCAGAATCTCAAAAATTTTACTTTAATTTGATTAATTAGTTTTATAACTAATGTTATTTTATGTTTTTTTTTAATATTTTTATATTATTTAAACAATTGATTTTACATATAAAGCTAGTTTTAGTTACTATTTATTCAATTGTTGTACTCTTATACAATTATTACCAAAAAAATGACAGTTGCTTAAAACATCGATGATAATTGCATTATTATCTTAAAATATTTACAATGAATGAAAAGTTTATACCCTTTAATTATGTTAAATATATTTTTTGGGCATATAATTTCGTACTGAAACTGGTCCGTAAACATCTATTAAAATGAAATTTTAAGTAATACGAGTACTGTTAATATAATCTTAGAAGTTTTCTCTACATAAATATATGCATTTGCCGATTTTTATACCAAAATCGTTTACTCTAAAACCACCTCTCAGAGTTACTAACAATCGTAAAATAAATTGTCTACCAGGCAAATATTTTAGAGAAAAATTGCTTTTAAATTGCTCCAACATTATTGGAGCAATTTACTTGCTCTTTATCACTAACAATGATAATGACTTGTGCACCCTGTAATTTAGAATTTTTTTTCAAGTATATAACATACTTAGGTATTTACATAACTATTCCAGCTCATGCTGAACAAGTATCTATGTATGTATGCATGAGTGAGTGTACATGTTTGTAAATATAGAAGGAAAAAAGCAGAAATATTTATTTACACCTTCGCGCATATTTTTCGACACAAATATTTGCTTTGCTTTTATGGAGTGAAATAAGACGCGCAGCGAAGATGAATTCTTCTCTGTAGACCCGGATTGTAATGATGACTGCTGACGAATGAGGATGGTGAAGATACATGATCATTGTCATTACGTTGATGTTGTCAATGTTCATCATGCTAATGACTGCTGTACTGGCGGCGATGGTGTTGATGACAATAATATGGCGCGCGATTTTGACGGCGACATTGAGACGTTGGTGACAACTGCTTTGAAAATCCATAAATGTTGTTTCGCTAAAAATTGTTTTCATTTTCGTTTTCATGTTGCCATAAAGAATAAGAGAGAAAAAAAAGGAAATTGATACTTACAGAGGTCCATGATTACGTTTTCAATGATAGGTTGGTCTTGCTATTGGAATTGCAACCAAAAAGCATCAACCATCAAAGTCTAAACATCATAAGCATATCACGCTATGCAGTTGTTGGTTATCATTTTACTTTAAAATGACTAGTCTTGCATAGTTTTTAGTTTATTTCTTGTTAAATTATTCATTTTTATTTATATTTTATTTATAAATATATATTTTTTTGTTTCGGAATAACTGAGGTAGTTGAAAAGTCATTGCCTAAACAATATCGTCAATTAGACCCACAAATATTCGTCAAACAAACGAGTTCATTGTTTTTAGTTACGAATTAAAACAAACGAGTATTTGTTCACTAGTAGCATAAAATATCACAAATGATTTAAATAGTTAAAAATGATTATTTCATTATCTTATGCAGTTAAGAGCGTTATGAGTGCTTTAAATTTTTTTACCCTTTACACACATTGTTTGAGTAGACTGTATTAAGTTTAATAAAGTGTTTGTTAATCCAAAAAAAGAAAATGCCGAGACCCCTAAAGAGTATGTGCTTCCAGTACGTAGCGATGATCAGCTAAATGAGTTCGATCGTATAGTATCTTTTTTATACTTTAAACACTTATTCGACAGTTTTTAGGAAGAGTCTAATTGTTTAAGTACTTTTCTTTCTTAATTTCCTTTATTTACAATCTTCTATCCCTCATACTTTAGAACGATTTTTCTTTGCTTTACATTATTTAGAGTTTTATTGAAAATCGTTACTAAAGATTTATTATTCCGATTGCTCACATTCTTGATACTTGAGAACCTTCCTTTCCTGCTTGTCTATAGATTCATTAGCAAGACATTATCAGTTTTAGTTTAAATTACTATGATGATCTAGAGATGTCCTTAGAAATATTGGTTTATTGTGTTACTGCACAAAACTTAAAGGGTTTAAAATCTTTTTCAAGCCTTAATTAATAGATAGTCCTAATTTCAATACTCATATTTCCGATTCGGATGAAGTTTTTGTATAACAATACTTATAGATATTCTCTTCATATTCATATAAATTTTTAATTCGTGTGAAGAGTTCTTTCATAGTTCATACCTATAAATCTACTCTTCATATTCGTTTATATTTTTAATTCATGTAATATTTTCTTTCAAAGTCCACATAAATTTACTCTGCATAGTTTATAAAAATTAAATCTTCATAACTCTTTTAAATCTAATCTCCATATTTATATAGATTTCCAATTCATGTAAAGTCTTTTATTATGGAGAATATACATATACCCTTCATATTCTTATGTATTTCCAATTCGCATCAAGTTTTCTTTTGTATTCCATATACATATTCATATAAGTACATCTCTTGTTATTGCAAGCAGCTCATTTAACTTAAGGTTGCCTGCCAAGTCATCACCAACCCAATGGTGTCCCAAGACAGTCATCCTCTTGCTTGCCAGTGCTGGACATTGGCACAATACCATATATCTACCGCTGTCTCCTTTTCTTCTAGACATGATCTACAAATGTGTTTCTTAACATGTCCAGTACTCAATGAGGTCAACCAGCTAAGGGTGTACCACGGCATAGTTCACATATGTCAACTCTTCATATTCGTATATAGAATAGATTTGATACGAGTGAAGTTATGTTGTAATTTATAGAGATATACATCCTTAAATCATACAGTTTTTCAATTCTGGTGAAGTTTTTTGAAATAGTTAATATAGATATACATCCTTAAATCATATTGATTTTTGTTTCGTGTGAAGTTTTCTGCTTTAGCTCAGATATACTTCTCTAAATCATATAGATTCCCAATTCGTGTTAAACTTTCTTTTATAATTCACATTGTTAAATTTTTCTAAATCCTGCAGATTTCCAATTTGGGTGAAGTTTTCTATTATAGTTTATTTAGACAGACTTTTGTTATTTTCGAATGCTCTTAATTTTCCCCTCTTCCATTTTTCCAAACTACCTGTTACCATATTTATATGTTTGCACCCCTTGAGCTTCTCTTTATTTTCTTTATTTACTATGTGCTGTTATGATGATTCTTCCTATTTTTGTTACCAGTAAACTTTTGTGCCTTCATACCCTTTAGTTTTCTACCATAGTGTTCCAGTTGATGAAATATTGTTCTTAAAAAAATATCACCAAAGCAACTTATGCTCAAACGCAACTGCTTCCACCGTCAGACTCTATTCTCTATGTTTAATGAATTTTATTTAATATCCATGGTTAAAAGTATATATTTTCTATTTATTTAATGTTTAACTAACTTGACTGGACTTTGTACGTTAAGGTCTCCATAGTATAAATGTCTGCACATAATAATGAAAAATTTAAAAAATAGAAGGAAAAATTCAATACTAAAGTGTGTGAGTGTGACTTGCATGCCAAATGAGCAGACTTTAAACTTCAAAACAAGCAACCGAATGCAGTACTCAGTCGTAATGGCTTCATAGTTATTAATTCTTTAAATGGAATTTTTCTGCTTTTGCTACTCTTTCATATACGAGTATATATATCTAATATATATACATATATCTAAGTGCATATATTCGTATTTTGTTAAGTTCGCTAGATTGAGGTAGGTTCAACAAAGTT